TGCCGCCTCCCTCTGCTCAGTCCTGCACCTCATGGACATTGCACTCTCCCTGATTTCCAGGATTTCCTCACTAAGGAGCTACAAAAAATCGCAAGAGCAGTGAATTACTACATCGGTCTGAGGGCACAGCTTCTGGGCCAGTGGCAGTGGGTGGACAAGACTCCGTATAATGAGATGGCAGCGTGAGTATCCCCAGATGGAGAGTGTTTAGTGCGGCTCCTGGTAGTGCAAGAGAGTAGGAGAGATGTGGGGGTGTCTGTTGGTGCATGAGAGGGAGGCGAGACAAATCCCTGTGAGAGGACAATGATGGAGCAGGAGAGGGCTGTGTATGACACCAGGTTTGCACGGCCCCATCCATGCTGGCTAGTGGTTGTTAGTTGACTACCTGTGACACGGCCATCAATGCTGCAGGCACAGAAGCAGCTGTATCTTGCCAGCAGGATGACCAGCCTTGCCTGACCTCCATACTGCCTCCACCATGCACATGTGCACGTGTATGCACAGGCCAGTGCTGTGATGCTATGGAAGAGGTGGGGCACAGGGGGAGATCACCAGGGCTGTCCTTGTTGCGCCGCAGTCTGGAGGACAAGCTTGCCCTGGAGGCAGACACATGCCTCTGCTGGGTGTGAAGCGCATGGGGTGAGCGGTGGTGAGCAGCTCCCCCGACCAGGACTGAGCAGGTCCCTGTTGTGTTGGCTGTAGGAAGAAGGCAGGTTTCCCCATGAGACTGGTGCCAGTGGGATAGCGGAGCAGGAGGAAGGGTAGTGCTTCTGTCCGTGAATCGGCATCTGGAATTTTTCTCTCTCCCCTCCAAGCCTTGCATCCTGCTGGGACCTTTTCCAGCAGTGCTCTACGGGGTACGCTGGGGAGTAACACTCTGTCTCTATCTCAGGTTCTGGCGGAAAGGGGAACCAAGTAATGTGTCTGCTGAGATGTGCAGTGGAATCCATACCAGTATCAATTCAGAAATACACAACTGGAATGATATCCGATGCGAGGACCATTATCGAATTTGTGAAGCTGCAGCAGTAAGTGTGTGACGGAGCGACCCTCATTCTGGGCTCTTGTGTTCTCTTCTCCCTGCATGTGTCCAGCAGGCACTGGCTGAAAAGAGGTTGAGTTCTCCAAGAAGAAGACACAGGAATGGAAGACTGTGAAGAGCTGTGATTTCCTTTGTCTCCTTGAGCAGAGCTTTCTGCTTTTTCTTGGGGCACACAGAGAATGTCCTCTTCTTGCATTGGTTTTGCTTAATAAATACTGATTTCCTATAGAAGGGAAAATACAGTATTAGACCAATGAAAAAGGTTCTGTGCTGTGTGGGTGTGTGTCTGTCTCTCTTTCTCTTTCCCCCTCTAAGCTGCAGGTGGTTTGTATAAGCAGGATCCAAACCTGTTGCTGTGCCAGGATAGAGCCTTACGCAACTACTGCAGCAGAAGTTGCACCCACCCAGGGAGAGTAAACCCCCCCCGAGACAACCTGGCTACACAGTCCCATTGCACACAGCCAAAGCTGTGGAGGGAGCTGGGCACAGGAAACCAGCTCTAGGGATGTTATCACTATTTGTTTCCATTGCCGAAAGCCTTGGCTGGGAGAGTAACAGGAACTCGTGCCAGCAGTCTGACCTGCACATG